ATTTTGAGGGGAGGTCTTGAGCTGTTTATGAAGGAGAGTTTGTTAAACAAATTAACAGGGTGCAAGAGATTAAAAGCAGAATGTATATCACTGCTTTAAAAACTGCTTTAGATGTTAGTTCTTTTCACACATAAACCATTGTTATGCTACTTATAAATGGAGTTTATTCATGAAAGCTTCCTGCCCCACACCCCAGGAACCTAAGCAAATTATTTAGGGGTATAGTTGTACATTCCACTTATACTATCTAGTTACAATTAAACAATGGGTCTTAAATAGTATGAGTAATGCAGAGTGACCTCTTTTAATTAGCCCTAATAAGCAAGATTTTTCTATTTATAAGAGTGTCAAAATGGAAAGGTCCCTGACTACTCTTGTTCGGAGCCCACAGGGAGGTATACTAAAGGGGAGGGGGTAGGAGGGCAGTCTAGAAACCTGGATCTGCTTTCTTTTTGTAAGTCTTGAAAATAAATTTTATGAACATTTCAAAAGGGGAATATATGCACTAGGATTGACTTATATTAAATGAGCTCACAAGTGACTGATGTATAAACCCAATGTCAACTTTCAGTTGCTAAGTAGATAAATATAAATCATTTGGCCAGTTATTGCATTTTCTTTGAAGGAAAATCTATAGCAAAAGCCTAGTTATAATTGGAAGATTCGTTTGTAGGAGGCTCAGGAAATTAGAGGACACATATTCTTTTTAGGGATGTGGTATTCCTCCAAAAAGACAGTAATATGAAATTTTTGCATTTGTACTCGTAATGATGAGAGAAACTGTCAAATTTAGTTCATCAAATCTCTGCTTATTTAAGTTACATGTTCATCTTGGATTAATGAAGACTTTCTTCAAACATGGTTCAATATAATTAAATTTTATTTTCCTTATTTAAAGTCATATTTTAGTTGTGCCTTTATAGTAAAACACATAAACCACTTGGTCCACTTGTTCTCCAATCCCCTTGCCTACATATTCAAAAAATCCTTTGGGTTATTTCTACAGTTGACTGATCTTGTCCGTTATTTCTGTGTATTTATGTGAAGTGGTGGCCTTCTCTCACGTGTATTAATTACCGTTCATTATGTTGGTGGTTTTGTCCTTTGGCTGTCATAGCATTATGGAGTCTAGAAAAAAGCTCTTCTGTGATATTTCTTTGTGACTGTAATGCTCCTGGTCTGTTTCTCCCCAAGTTTGCATCTTATGAGGACATAATTAAGACAAACTTCCTTTTCCTTCTTTTCGAATTAACCACTTCTTGTGTCACCATTACATTCCAGGGAAAGCTGCTGCTTTGCCACCCGTATCTTAGTGCAACACCTGGCTTTTTGTGTTGAGCTGCACTGCAGTCATCAACGAAACAGCGTACTGCTGGCTTCCTCCTTCCTTCCCTCCCTCTCTCCCTCCCTTCCTCCTTTCCTTCCTTTCCTTTGTCTTCTCCCTCTCTTTCCCCTTCTCTTCCTTCTTCCTTTTCCCTCTCTCTCCCCTTTCCACAACTTTATTGAGATATAATTCACATACTATAAAGCTCTCCTATTTAAAAATATAAATCAGTGGTTTTTTTTAATACATTCACAGAGCTCCAAAACAATAGCCACTATCTAATTGTATAACATTTTTATTATCTGCAAAAGAAATCCTGTATCCATTAGCAGTTACTTCCCTCCCTCAGGCCCTGGTAGCCATGAATCTACTCTCTATGGATTTGCCTATTCTGGATGTTTCATATACTGGCTCATACAATATATGGCCTTTTGTGTCTGACTTCTTTCACTTAGCATAATGTTTTCAAGGTTCATGCATGTTGTAGCATATCTGTACTCCATTCTTTTTTATGACCAAATAATATTCCATTGTGTGCACATGCCACATTTTGTTTATCCATTCATTATGTGATGGGCTTTTGATTGTTTCCGCATCTTGACTTTTATAAATGCTGCTGTGAACATTCACGGACAGGTTTTGGTGTGGAAATATGTTTTTGTTTTTCTTGGATAGGTACCTACAATTAGAATTGTTGGCCCTTTATTTAACCTTCTGATGAACTGCCAAACTCTTCTTAAATGGCCACACCATTTTATGTGCCCCGAGCATTATATGTACTGTTAACAATTTTTCCACATTCTCACTAACACTAGCTATTGTCTATCTCCTTGATTATAGCCATCCTAGTGCATTTTACTAATTAGTAATGATGTTGGGCATCTTTTTAGAAATCTTTTTAAATGTTTTTATTTTATTTTTGAGAGAGAGAGAGACAGAGCATGAGTAGGGGAGGGGCTGAGAGAGAGAAGAAGACACAGAATCTGAAGCAGGCTCCAGGCTGTGGGCACAGAGCCTGATGTAGGGCTCGAACTCACAGACCGTGAGATCATGACCTGAGATAAAGTCAGACACCTAAGTGGCTGAGCCGTCCAGGCGCTCCAATGTTGAGCATCTTTGCATGTACTTACTAGCATTGGAATATCTTCTATGGAGAAAGGCCTATTCAAAACTCTTGCTCAATTTTTAATTGCGTTGTCTTTTTTTTTTAAATTAATGTTTGTTTATTTTGAGAGGGAGAGTGAGTGAGCCAGGGAGGGGCAGAGAGAGAGGGCAAGAGAGTCCCAAGCAGGCTTTTCGCTGTCATAGGGCTTGATCTCACAGCCTGTGAGATCATGACTTGAGCTGAAATCAAGAGTTCGATGCTTAACCAGCTGAGCCACCCAGGTGCCCCTAATTGGGTCATCTTTTTATTCTTGAACTGTAACTGTTCTTTATGTTCTTTATACATCCTAGATATGATCCCCTATCAGCTATATCACTTATAAATATTTTCTCTCATCCTTTTTTTTTTTTTTTTTTTTTTTTAAGCAGACACTATTTTTAAGAGCAGTTTTTGGTTCATAGCAAAATTCAGTGGAAAGTACACGTTCCCATATACCCCCTGCCACCACACAACCACAGCCTTCTCCGCAGTCAACATTTGGCACCTGAGTGGTACATTTGTTACACTGATTAACCTACTTTAATATGTTATTAACACTCGAGGTCCATAGTTTACCTTAAGGTTCACTCTTAGTCTTGAACATTCTATGAGTTTTGATAAAAGGAGCCACCATTTGACATGTACCCACTATGTATACATATATCCACATCTGTCAGACAGGATAGTTCCACTGCCGTAAAAATCCTGTGTACCCTGCCTTTTCATTCCTTTCTCCCCCTTAGTCCCTGAAAGCTTTTGGTCTTTTTATTGTCTCCGTAGTTTTGCCTTTTTGGGGATGTCATGCGGTTGGAATCATACAGTAGGTAGCCTTTTCAGATTGGCTTCTTGACTTGGCAAGATGCATTTAAGGTTCCATCATGTCTTTGTGGCTTGATAGCTCATCTCTTTTTAGCGCTGAATAATATTCCACTGTTGGGATGTCCCACAGTTTGTTTATCCTTTTGCCTAGTTATAATGCACAGTAAGTTTTAAGTATGCTTCTTTTCTGATCAATAAACATAGTTTATGCTCACTGATTAGAAACAACTATTATGGGGGTCAAACTATCTGGGGAGAGTCTGCCAGACCCCTGCCTTCATTTAACTCGGAATTGTGGTCTCCGTGGAGGACATGTAAGTTAAAAATGACAGGAGCTAGCAGGTGCTTCTGGGCTATGTGAGATTTAGCACCTAACAGCCCCGCTCCTGCTTAGGAGCCCTGGTGATTCCTCTGCCCTATTCACATTCAGTGGGGCCACCAATTTGCACACCATTTACAAAAGACGTCAGAATGGAACCACAAGGGAAATGATGTTCACAGTCTTGGGATGGAACTTCAAGTGAGTGTTTTGGAAGGATCAGGTGTCATATCTCATTGTCCTAGTGGCCATTAAATAACTGCTTGTCATTGGGCACGGCCTGCTTTGATTTGCCTTTGGTGCACCCTTTCTCTTCTCCACTTTCGTTCAACTTCCTGTGATGGGACAGCCATACTCTCTTTCTCTTCTAGTCTCATTTTAGAATTTGTTTTTTTTTTTTTTGATACATATACATAATTATAGTATGTATGTAAGCACCAAGCTTATACTACATTTGTTCTATCACATTTTGTTTTTTTATAGCTCCTCCTCTTTTTTTTTTTTTAGCTTTTTTTTTAATGTTTATTTTTGAGAGAGAGAGAGACAGAGTGCAAGCAGGGGAGGGACAGAGAGAGAGACAAGAGAAAGAGAGGGAGACACAGAATCTGAAGTAGGCTCTAGGCTCTGCGTTATCAGGCCAGATACACAAACCAGGAAATCATGACCTGTGCCAAAGTCAGAAGCTTAACTGACGGAGCCACCCAGGCGCCCCTTGTGCCTCTTATTTTTCCACAGGGATTGAAACTTGGTTGACATATAAATATATAATTACCATTCTTGTGTGGCTGCCTGCTTAAAGGAGGGTGTACTAGAAATGTTGACTGAGTTTCACATCATTATGAAGTCTTCTGCTTGTGAAGATCCCCATTTATTTCACCTGATATGCCATTATAGTATGTGTTTGGGTTTAATGGAACCGGCTGATGAACTGAATGGGAATATTGCTATTGATTCCTTTTCTCTTCAGGATAGTGTCCCAGTTATGTTTCAGACATTAGTCAGGAGCTCTGAAACACTACCATGTTGACTCTTTAATTTAGGAAATCTAGATGATTCAACATACTCTTTCTTCTCTGTTTTAAATGTGGAATGGTCGAAATGACTCTGGAAATAGGTTAAGACAACATAAGGGAACACGACTGTTCCCTATGACTGTTAGTGCTTTGATTATTTGCCCAGATCAAGCCTTCCCTCCAGGAATGTATGACTTATCACTATTGGTAATACTTACCTCTAAGATTATGAGACCTGGCCTGCTTTTCGGATGACGTAAAACAGACATCTCTATAATCCAATGAAGAAATACTGTACAAATTTAAATCTCACCTCCTGATTCATTGAAGGGTTTAGGAAGAAACCTGATAAAAATAAATAACTTTGTACCTCTTCCACAGAGAGATGGAGAGCTTCCAGCTTCAAAGAAGAAACGCCAGGCAGGGGAGAAGATCATGTACACTTTAGTCTCAGTACCCCATGGAAATGACATTGCATCCCTCTTTGAACTGGATGCCACAACTCTTCAGAGAGCTGACTGCCTGGTCCCAAGGTAAAAAATAAAACAAAGTAAAATAAATATATATGGTTAAATAATAACATTTCTTTGAGTAATTGTAGTGGTAGGTAAGGAATTAAAATATAATGTTAATGGAATTTTTGTGATATCAGTGGAGTAAGTGTAAGTGAACTAATGTGTAAAAATCATACTTCTTTTGTGAGAAGATTAACACAGTTTGTTTTATTCTCATAAATAATTAAAGTGTTCAGGACCAAAGAAACTCTGAAAAATTCATAAGAATTATTTATTCTTATTACTTTATGGCCTTTGGTTTCGAACATGAAAAATAATCTAGGGGCATTTCTATTAATACTTATTTATTTCTATTATGTCAAATTTCAGATTTCTTTCATTCATTCATCTGTTTGGTCATTTCTTTAGTCATTCAGTTAACAAACCTTTTCTGAACTTAAGACATTGCCCTTGACACTGGGGAGTGAACAGTGAACAAACTGGTTATATACTTAATTTCAAATGAGGGATAGAGGCAATAGAAAAATTAACATTCAATATCAGGGCAGGTAATCAAACTGCTTTGAAAAAAAAATTGCAGAGAGTCGTATTAGGTATTAGTGTTTAGAAATGGCCTCTCTGACTTAGAACATTTGAGAAAAGATCTGAATGATTTGAAGGATCAAGCCCTCTCTATCAGGAATGTTTCAAGCAGCAGGAACATGAAATGGAAAAATCTTGAAATTTCCTGGGTGTGCTGAAGGAATAGGTAGAAAACCAATGGGACCTAAGTGAGTGAGAGGTGGGGAGGTGGAATTGGTAATGAGGTAGCCAGAATGTAAGGTAAGAGAATGTCTTACATTCTTTTTTTTAAAAGTATCCTTTTTAAAAATGTTTATTCATATTTTGATAGAGACAGAGAGACAGAGCACAAGTTGGGGAGGGGCAGAGAGAGACGGAGACACAGAAACTGAAGCAGGCTCCAGTCTCTGAGCTGTTAGCATGGAGCCCGACACGGGGCTCGAACTCTTGTGCTGTGAGATCATAACCTGAGCCGAAGTTGGACACATAACCAATTCAGCCACCCAGGAGCCTCTGTGCTATTTTAGAGTTTTGAAACTCAGTCTCTGTTGCACCTTCCTTTATGAATGAGCAGCACCATGATGCTGAGTGAACCTCTCTTTCCTGGAGGCCATTGGCATTTTATTTGGTTCTTTCTTATTGGTCTTAATGCTTTTTGCCTCGTGTTGTAGGATTTATTTATGGCTTACAGTTCCTACTTAACTCTCAGAAGCTTGGAGGCAGAGAACTTAGCACAGTGCTTTTGTCTGAACAGATCTTTTACACATATTTGTTAAATAAATGATACGAATAAAAGTTTCACTGAGATGATAATATTTGAGTTGTTTGAAGTTCTAGCTGTCCTTTCTCAGTATTCCCTCACCGTTCATACACAGTTGATTCTTGTTTTGTCCTGGTACACTGAAATAGCAAGTACTGAACCATTTCTCCTGGAAGATAGGCAGGGTTAGGTTCCTGTGAGCCTCCGGTCACAATATTTTCATCAGTCACATCAGTTACACACATAACCTTGTGCTGTGTGTATTTTTGTTTAAAGACACCTTATTTAACATCTGTTGATTCATTAACATCAAACTAACAGTCATCAGCACTATCTCTCATGCCCGAATGAAGCTTATCTAACATAAGTATTTTCGCCTTGAGGCACATCGCAGCCTTGTTCTTAGGAACACTGGACAGCACTCCGGCACTAGGCTTGGGACCCATTTAAACAGCAAACTCATCAGCAAAATGCGCAGAAATCTGGAAAAACATGGCACTGAATAGATCTTGAAACAGACGCTTGTTTATAGTTGGAGCACAAACGAGAAGGCAGAGTATTGCCTTGGTCAGCCTCACTGGGAACATGCACAGTGGGGACTCAAATTTTTTACCATTCTGTTTATGTCCAGGAATGATGGCACAAGTGACTGTTGATTTTGGGGTTACAAATCCTTTTTCGTGAATTCACAAGCACAGAATCTGCAAATAATGAAGATTGGCTATATATACTTTTAGACACAAATGATGATGCTACAGAAACTACGATCAGATAGCTGTGTTAACTGACATGGTTACTCAGTCAGTGGTCCTCAAATCAGCATTGCCTGGAGAGGCTGCTAACATATTCCTTGTTGGCCCTACCTTTGGAGTTTCTGATTCGGTGAATGGGGATGAAGCCTCAGACTTTGTATTTCTAACAAGTTCCCAGGTGATGCTATTCCTGCTGGTCCAGGGAACACACTTTGAGACCCACCGGTCCAGGTAGTAATACCACATGCTTTGAAATAGTCTTTGGTTCAGAGCCTTTTCCTTAAACCAGACTGATCTAAACTTGAGTCAACTAGTCTTTAATATATTCGTTCATATCATGTATGAAACTGCTAACTATGTTAATATATAAGTGTGCCAGTTTTTTTTTAATGTTTTTATTTTTTTAAATTTATTTCTAGGAGAGAGAGAGACAGCGTGAGCAGGGGAGGGTCAGAGAGAGAGGGAGTGACAGACTCTGAAACAGGCTCCAGGCTCTGAGCTGGCAGTCAGCACAGAGCCCGACGCGGGGTTCGAACCCACGAACCGCGAGATCATGACCCAAGTGAAAGTCGGATGCTTAACCGACTAAGCCACCCAGGTGCCCCATAAGTCTGCTAATTTTTAATAATCTGTTTTTTGTATTCTTTTGCTTGTAGGAACTCATATGTTCGGTTAAGGCATTTATGTACCAACACGTGGGTCACAAGCACCAGTATCCCCATAGACACAGATGAAGAGAGACCTGTTATGTTAAAGGTAAATGTTGTTGAGAATTGTTTATTTTTGAAGTTTATTTATTTTGAGAGAGACAGAGACAGTGTGAGCAGGGGAGGGGCAGAGAGAAAGGAAAGAGAGAGAGAATCCCAAGCAGGCTCTGTGCTGCCAGCCCAGAGCCCAACGCAGGCTCGAACCCATAAAGCCGTGAGATCATGATCTGAGCCGAAGCCAACAGTCAGGTGCTTACCCTACTGAGCCACCCAGATACCCCGTGAGAATTGTTTAATTATTAGACAGATGTTGTGTGATTGGAATCAGGGGTGATTGACATGTTCCTTACCATCTGTCTTTCCCGATATTAGAGATTATTACAAGTAATCTCCTCAAGTGTTCATTTTGCCAGTTGCTTAGGAAGCTGAACTAAGCGGCTTGTCTGCAGTGGGGCTGTGATTCAGAAGGATGCTATCACAGATACCAAAAGTGTGGGAGCAGCATGGAGAAAGGGGAGAAGATCCCAGGAGCACATTCTCTCTGTTCTGTTGACACTGAAGCAAAGGACAAGTGTGCAAGGATGTGTTTCTAGTGGGCTTTGGGAACAAGGCAGGAAATGGGTGTGGAAAATCTGTGTGTCCCCAGTCTTTCAGAGTGGATGACGCATATGAGAATTACTGTATTTGGATTATCTATTCCTGTCTTATATTTCTTTTTTTTTCTTAAATATTTATTTACATTAGAGAGGGGATGAGAGTGGCAGAAGGAGAGGGAGAGAGAAACCAGGTAGGCGCCATGCTCAGCATGGAGCCCAATGCAGGATTCTATCTCATGGCCTTGAGATCCTGACCTGAGCAGAAATTCAGAGTCAGATGCGTAACCAGCTGAGCCACCCAGCTTAGATTTCTTAAACAATATTAAGGTGTGTTCATACCAGAAAAATATTGTGTGTTTAAAAAAACAACAACTAATCTTGGTGGAAAAAACACATTTCAGATTGGAACGTGCCAAACAAAAGAAGATAAGGAAGCATTTGCCATTGTGTCTGTCCCGCTGTCTGAGGTCCGAGACTTAGACTTTGCCAATGATGCAAATAAAGTGCTGGCGACCACAGTTAAAAAGCTGGAAAATGGCACAATAACTCAGAATGAAAGGAGGTTAGTAATTTTGTTAAATGGCTCTTAAGTCATCAAGAGTCAGCTGCTGACTCTTGTGGTAAGCCTCAAGTGAATGAATGGCTCTAAGGGGACATTTAGAATGGTCTCCCTAGTGGCGCACCTGCTTCTGAATGAGTGGATCATGGTGAGCGAATGAAAATGGGGACTTTAAAATCTGGTGGAATATTCACGTTTTCCATTTTAGCTGGGCTTGGAGTTGTTGTTTTGCTCGCTGATCTTTCCTTTTAAATGTTTCATAGAAGACATTTAATACTTTTGCTGCGCTTCGTTTAATGTTTGGATTTAAGAGTTCTAAAAGTCCTAAAAGAAGTTTTATGTTTTTCTGTTCTTATTCATGCAAGACACATTGGTCTGCTCAGGTAACATGAGATAAATATACCAGAAAAGAGTCTGCAAGGTGTAGCACTCTGGCCTTATAACTCCCGCAGAGAAACTGGATCCTTGATTCTTTAGCTCTTGTTCTGGAAATGGTTGGGAAAGAGAATGATCCTGATGGCTCCCAAGTATATCATTCCTATTTTGTGTTGGTACTGTAAATATATTTTATATACGCCTTCAAACAGTCCTGAGATGGACATTATTCTCAGTTTACATAAGTGGGGCATTTGATCATGTGTGGTTTTGTTTTTAATGTTTTATTTCTGCAAGAGAGAGGGAGTGTGGGGGAGGGTCAGAGAGAGAGCACTGAGAACAGCAAGCCCATTGTGGGGTTTGAAGTCACGAATTGTGGGATCATGACCTGAGCTGAAGTTGGAGGTTCAACCTACTGAGCCATCCAGATGCCCAATCATGTGGGTTTTCAAGTCTCTGTGTTTTCGGTGCACCAGAACACAGCATTCTTTTTATTTCCCCTTGATGATCTGCTACATGCCTTTACATTTGAACAAGAGAAATCTGTTTACCAATTTTGCAGGCGTTGCGATACATTGCAGCTCTCATCACAGCTGGTGAGGTGATAATTGGTATAAACACTTCAGAAAATAGTTTGACAGTAATTCGCAAAGTTGAAGAAATCACTCCTCATATAAGCAGAAGTATGCTGCATTTGTTCTTCTGTGATTGGCTCATTTCAAGTAGCATAACATCTTCCAGGTTGACCCAGGTTGTCACATGTGGCAAGATTTTCTTCTTTTTTAAAGCTGAATGATAGTCCATTGTATGTATAAAATAGCATTTTCTTTATATATTCATCCATCAATGGACATCTAAATTGTTTCCATGTCTTGGCTATTGTTAATAATACTGCAAAAGAGTCCAACTCAAGAGAGTAGAATGGTGGTCGCCAGGGCATGGGGGGTGGGGGGATGAAGAGTTCTTGTTTAACAGTTGTAAATTTTCATTTATACAAGATGATCTGTTGTACAACATTGTGCCTATGGTTAACAATTCTGTATTGTGCACTTAAACATTTGCTAAGAGTAAAGATCCTATGAGTGTTCTCACCACACATATGAACACATACTCACAAAGAAGCAAACACTCGGGACTCACCAATTCTTCTCCCAGCTTGAACGTTCTTGAACATCTGTCCCAAAGCAGCTCCTACCTATACATGTGCACCAGGACACATGTTTAAGAATGTTCAGCCTTATTATAAATAACCCCAAACTTAAAACCATCAAGTATTAATCACCGGTTGAATAGATGAATACAATTGTGGTAAATTCATGCAATGGACATAGTATAGCAATGGAAATAGATGAACTACATCTATGGGTGACCACGTGGATAAATCCAGTAAACTTTAGATGGAGCAAGAACTAGACACAAATACATTCACCATGATACTATTTGTAAAGTTCAAAGGGAACAAAACAAAATTCTATTTCTTTGGAGTGCTTAAGCAATTAGAGGAACTATGAAGAAATTCTAAGAAATAATTGTCTTAGAAATCAGGATGGTGTTCCCCTTAGGGAGATGGGATTCAAGAAGGCTCCTGCAGTGCTCCATTTCCTGCTCTGGGTGATACTCTCTGGGATTGCCTTAGAAGTATTCCATAAGTAAACACTTATGTTTTATGAACTTTTGGATGAATATCTTATAACACAAAGGAACAAGAATCCAACTTGCTTCTTCCCACCCCATCACTAGAAAAACGTCACAAATATGCAAATGGAATAGCTGTTTCTCAGCTTACTTTCTGTTCTTACCTCTGTTTTTTCCCTAACAAACATGAATTTGAAAATAAACTATTGTATATGCAATTGAACCTTGAACCTTGTTGGAGAAAATAAATAAAGGCCAGAAGCAGAAATAACTGTTCTACTCTTTTGGACTACAGAAAACTAAAGATCTGAGCTGGATTATGACATGTAATGGAATCCAGTGTGCAGATAGCACTTTTCAATATTCTATTTTTAATGTTTATTTTTGAGAGAGAGAGAGAGGGAGAGAGAGAGAGAGAAAGAAAGCAGGAGAGGGGCAGAGAGAGAGGGAGACACAGAATCCGAAACAGGCTCCAGGCCCTGAGCTATCAGTATAGAGCATGATGCCGGGCTCGAACTCACAAACCTGAGCCGAAGTCGGAAGCTTAACTGACTGAGCCACCCAGGTGTCCCCAGATAGCACTTTTTATTTTCCTGTTATTTATCTATCAGTGCTTCCTTTTGACATATCCATTTCTTTGTCAGTCTCACATATTCAGTAATTTACTCAGGCTCACTTAAGAAGTCTCCCTTGCTAAAAGTAAGGTGTTCCTTGAAGAAGTGGGCAAGTAAAGGTTAGATGTGAACCCTCTCTCATTGCTGGTTGTAACCTGGAGCAAACCACTCTTCGGCTTCTGCCAGAGAGAATCTTAACCTCTCATGATTCAGAGGATGGTGCTGGACCAGGACCGACCAGGGATCAGGGAGCATGCATTTTTATTTTTCCTGCCTCTTTCCCCACTGTTTTAGAGTGAGAAACATCAGAGCAAAGAGAAATATGCTTGAGAAATATGAAGTTGCAATTATTGATCTTAATTTAGCAATTTTAGAGAAGTCATCTCCCATCAAAATTCATTCAAAGCTGCCTGTCAGTACAATGGAACTTATTGGCATAGTTGAGTGTATTTATATTATTTTCTCTGTTTTAGAATTCAATATAAAATTCTATCTGAAAATACCTCACAACTCTGACTTTTTTCTCTCTGGAGAATGAAGTTATTATTAGATCTTCTTTTACTCAAAACCAGAAAGAATGATACAAGGTCAAAGGGAAGGCGTTAGAATATTGCAGATCTAGCTGAAAATGCCTGTGTTGTTTGAATTCTCTCATGGCCCCCCCCTTTGCTTGCCCCAGGAATGGGCTCTGGAGGCACATGCTCCTGTTAATGGCGCAAGATCCTCAATCTCAGATATTTTTCAGTGGAATTTCTGATCTTATTGTGCATAGTTGCACCAACAAAATAGAGTCTTGGGAACATGGTGGGGGGCGGGAGAGGAGTGAAAATGGAGGCGAGGTTAACTGCTGTTCAGTTAGTGATGCATAAACCAGAATGTCTGCACCATATTTTACTTTCGAGGGTATAGAAGAGATGTGGGCTTCCTCAGCAGCATTTATAGTTTAGAGATGTAATTAATTCATGTTTGCTGAGCTCCTGGTATGTGTCAGGCACTGGGCCATGCAGCACCCACGTGCACTGATAATTGTGGTCGTGAACAGCACAGGCGATGGCCATGCCTTCACGCTGTTTACTAGTTTGAGGTTGGTGCCAATTCCCCATGATAGAAACCCAGGATCTAGAATAGAGGTCACCCCACATGGAATCACCAGATCAGATACCCTTGGGTTTTGGTTTGTTTCTTCGTTTCGGATCAGCTACCTTTGTCATTCAAAGTTAACGTCTTCCTTAGCCACAATCTTTTTTCCTTAAATTTTATTTGCCTGATAGTACTATTGCTACACTAGCTGCCTTTTGGTTGCTTATTTCTCTGATGCCTCTTTTTGAATATCAGTTTATTTCAGATTTCCTGGTTGTTTTGTTTTCGTGATATGTCTTGTGAGCAGCAGAGAGCTCGATTTTAAAAATCTAATCTGATCCCTTTCTTTTCACCCTCTGCTTGTGCAGTTTCTTCTTTCAGCCCTCAGATCCATTTCTTGGGTGTGCAGAGTGATTAGATATTTATGTAGCTGTGTTCAGGCATGAGATAAGCCCAGAGTCCCCTACCACTCTACCATCTTAACTCCTCGAACCTAATTTGATCCCTTTTGTCTGGAGCCTCCATCTTCCCGTACTTCGCCAAAAAGACCAACGTGAAGGGAAAGAGTTGAGGCACTGCTGTGTGTTCTCTAGGCCTTTTAGAAAACATGGAGTGCTTCCTTCGGCCACATAGATGAGAATCTGCAAGAAAGACGATATTGTGAACATCAAGGGAATGGGCACGGTTCAGAAAGGAGCGCCCCACAGACGTTACCGTGGCAAAACGGGAAGAGTCTCCATTGTTACCCAGCACACTGTTGGCACTGCTGTTGTAAACACACAAGTTAAGGGCAAGATTCTTGCCGAGAGAATTAATGTACATCCAATAGAAGCACATCCTGCTCCACCCAGAGAAAACACACTTTGTAAGAAGCAATGGGAAAGAGTCTGAACTGCTGGAAGCCATTCCCGATGAATCCATGGCATTAAGACTTAAAATAAGTCTTTTTTTTTTTTTTTTTTTTTTTTCTGTTTTTACTTTTATTTGCATGTACTTTATGCAGAATTTACTCCCGGGCCATAAGTTTTTGTTTCTTCAGTTTCTTCTGGGATATCTNGTCTTTCTCTGTCTCTCAAAAATGAACAAACATTAAAAACAAACAAACATGCAGCCACTCTTCCTCTTTCAGGTACTTATAATCAAGTATATATATATATATTTTTTTTCTGTTTTTACTTTTATTTGCATGTACTTTATGCAGAATTTACTCCCGGGCCATAAGTTTTTGTTTCTTCAGTTTCTTCTGGGATATCTTTTTCTTCTGTGCAACTTCCTCTTGTGGTTTAGGAACAATCTGCTCTTTTTCAGTGAGGATCATCTCAATGTGGCAGGGAGAGCTCATGTATGGGTTAATCCTACCATGAGCCCTGTAAGTTCTACGCCGCATCTTGGGGGCTTTGTTCGCCTGGATGTGCTCGATGACCAGAGAATCTACATCTAAACCCTTAAGTTCAGCATTACTCTCTGCATTTTTAAGCATGTGCAGTAAAAATTCAGCACTCTTTTTGGGCCACTGACCCTGTGTCCAGCCCCACTGTTTGGCCTGGGCACACCTACCAACTCCACCACTGTAGCGTCGGAATGGAACACATTGCTTCTGCAAAGTAACATCTTTAAGATACTTGGTGGCTTTTCGGATATGCATACCCTTGATGGCTTGGGCAGTTTCACGTGTGTTCTTAAAGTGAACACGAAGATTTGAACCTCTTGATTTGCATGATTTTGTCGGGTTTTCCGGGTCAAGTGAATAGCGAACCATTTTCAGAGATCACCTCAGGCCGCTCACGGGAAGAGGAAGAGCGGTGGCTCCTCAAGACTTAAAATAAGTCTTAAACTAAGTCTTAAGACTAAAAATAATTACAGAAACGGAATCTGATAATCTTTCAATTAGTTTGTGTATAATTAATGTTTGGGCTTATTCTATCTTTTTTTTTTCTCACTGTAGCTTTTTTTCTTTTTTCCTCTATTTTCTTGCTTTCTGTTAGGTTGATAAAGTTGATATTTTCTCCTCACTTTTTTTCTTTTCCTCTACTGGTTTAGAAGATTTAGGTCATATTGCGACTCTTTAGCAATTGCATTATTGCTATTCTTGTCATACGTTTTAATTGCATATTCTTTCTTACACAATTGGAAGTTATTAAATCTTTCTCTTTTTCTTGTGGGAGTAAGGTACGTCAAAATGGTTTAATTATGCACTGATATTCTTCCTCTCATCTTTCTTGGAGTATACGTCTAGAATCATAGTTCTGTGTTCATCCTTTTCCTGAAAATTTTTTTTTTATAATAGTTGATATCAACAAGGGAGTAAATGTATCATATAAATCATGATGTACCGCCTTTTTAAAATTAAAAGTGTTAATTCCTAAAAATTATTTTTACTATGAATGTATCTCTTGTTATATTTTACCTCTGTGGCTTGCTTTTATTTCTTGCTTCTCACATCTCCTCTCTGGGCTCACTTTTCTTTTTGCTGAAATTTATTCTTTAAGCCATTTGGTCAGGATCTGTGGGTTTTAAATCTTCTCATTTTTTAAATATATGAAAATATCTTTATTTCCACTCTTAAGTGCTACTTTATGTATTAGGATTTTAGCTTGGCAGTTATTTTCCTTTGGTAAAGTTATAATGTTATTATTTTCTGACATATTTTGTTTCCATTAAGAAGTTTTTTGCTGATAGAATTGTTACTTTATTGGCCATTTTTTCTTTCCTTTTTGATAATTTTGTAGATTTTTTTCTTTGTCTTTGATGTCCTGAAGTTTTACTATGATGTGTTTACAAGGAAATTAAAAAATTTTTAATGTTTATTTATTTTTGAGAGAGAGAGAGATTGGCAGAGAGAGGGAGACAGAATCCAAAGCAGGCTCCAGGCTCTGAGCTGTCAGCACAGAGCCTGATGTGGGGCTCAAACTCACAAACCATGAGATCATGACCTAAGCCAAAGTCAAACCCTTAACTAATTGAACCACCCAGGCACCCTACCAGGGAATTTTTTTAATGAGTTTTTAACACTTGAGGTAGAGTTGGTGTACAACATTTCATTTGTTTTGGGTTTATAACATAATTATTTGGCATTTATGTTTATTGTGAAATCATCTCCACAATAAGTCTAGTTAACATCTGTCACCATACAGAGTTACAACATTTTGTGTGTGTGTGTTGATAACTTTAAGGATTTACTCTCATAGCAACTTTCAAATACAGTATTATTAACTATTGTTGCTATGCCGTACGTTACATAACCAGGGCTTATTTATTTTATGACTGGAAATCTGTACCTTTTGACTTCCTTCAGCCATCTCACCCACCCACTGCCCTTCACCTCTGTCAATGACCAATCTGTTCTCTGTGTTTATGAGTTTATTTTTAATTATTATTTTTAGTTTTTACACAAGGAAATATTACTTTTGTTTTTCCCACCTGATCTTTAAGGTGTGCTTTTACTCTGTATACTTATGTTTTCCTTTAATTCTGAAAAGTTGTGAGCTATTTTCTTCAAGATGTTACTTCTTTACCTTTTCCCTCTCCTGTGTCTTTTGGAACTCCTATTAAATGTATGTTGGATCCTCTTGGTTTGTCCTTCTTATCTTTTAACTTTCCTTTTATGATTTGCCTTTTTTATCTCTCTGTGCTACTTTCTGCATGGATTTTTTATATTGTCTTATAAATCAATAATTTGTGTTAGGATGTGTACAGAATAGTTTACCTTTGTGAATTTGATTTTTGTTGAAATGGTTATAATTTGTTTCTTGGATTTCTATTGGTTCTTTTGTGTATCCACCTGTTATTCATTTATATCTGCCTTTTAAAAATATTTTTGTCTTTTTTGTATTTACTTGCTTTCTTTATTTCTCTGGTGATTGAAAAAACGTATTTAAAAGTTATTTTGAAATAGTTCTATTACCTGCATTTTGTTGGTAATGAGTCGACCCCTTGATTTTTTTACGTATGGTGGGACTGGCCTTCATCATGTCCGTTTCCTTACGTGCTTTGGAATGTGAATACTGAGGCTCTTCTTAGGTGTCTGGTTTTTGCTTTTCCTTTCTCTGCATTTGCGGATCTCCTCTATCAGTCTTATGGTTGCCTCCATCTGCTGCTTCCCAGCCAGCTCAGAGCCAGATCTGCTATTGAGGACAGAGTTCCACATCCTATGGTAATTTGAGGCTTCACCCGTTGACATTACAGGTGGTAGGTCCAGTCCTATTTGTGAGTGTCCTACTACACAGCCAGAGCTGAAAAGGGGCCACCCAAGTTTTAATGTTCTCTTAAGAGGTGGAGAATTCCTACTCTAATATCTGCTTTCACATTTAGAACTTAGTTCCCTACCATGTGCTTTCAGTCCCTGTTATCTTGCAGGGATTGAACATCATGCTTGTTTATCACTGTGTCTTTCTTATTTTGTTCCTAAACCACAGAGCTTTTCACTTCTTTAGTAGGTATGTCTTTTAAAAAATATATCTTATCATTGCTGCATATGACAAAGTCACACAGAAAGTTGTGAGTACAAGCAAATTAATAAGATGGGGTGAATTAGTAGGACCCAACCACATCTCAGTAAAGAATTGGGAGTTTGATCTAAACTGAGAAAACCCAGTTGCTTACCACAGATGGGGTGCTGGAGGTGAAAAGGGGGAAAAAGAGTTTCAAGAGTTTCTGAGATTGAAAGAGAAGACTGCTTTTCTTGCCTTCCATTGCCCCATAATCAGAGGACTCAGGCTGTGCAAGCAGGGTTAATGTGTAATGATTTTCAATTCCGACTTAATTGTTTGCATCGTCATTCCATTAATTGTCACTAATTCAGGCCAATTCAGACTTTAAAGCAGAGTGATTTCTAGTTGTCCTAAAGTTGTGCTTTCTTAGATGTCTAAACATCTGAATACATTTAACTTGAAACAGGAGGAAAAGAATATTAATAATTTTTAAAAGAAAATACATATACTTATGCTCAAACTGGACATGCAGATTGAGTAAGTAGTGACTGAGCTTCAACTTAACCTGAGCTCAAAATAATTTTTACTTTTAGGAATAATGGAATTCATTGGAAGACATTAAGCCACAATTTCAAAAGAAATTAACACCACATTTCAATGCACATGAATCATATTTTACATTTCTCTGGTTGTCTTCAGAGCTTATGTGAGTGAATCCTATCAGGCACATTTTCAAAAAGAAACAGATTGGCTTCACATTTAACATAGGTACACCAAGAAAACATAGAATCTCTGGAATTTTGGAGTAGAATTTATGATTCTGGAAGTATGCCAAAATTTGGCTGTGGGTGGCTAAATTCTGGGTTCTGGGCATGTCCATTTGGCTCTATGAAAGTACGTTGTCTTTCAGGAGGTAAATATATCTGGAGATAGGATCAGGATGCTTCTTAATGAATACACTCTAGACTTTTCTGGAACTGTTGAATCTCTTATACTGTAGCTTTCTTATTGATGTGATCATGATTGGACGTGCTAATCATGGTGAATGATTATATTAATATGTATGGATAATATATATATATATATTTGCTGGACAAAAGTTTTCAAAAATTAAAACAAATTTAAAAATTCATATAGAAAATGACAAAGAACAGACAGAGGAAGGAGGGGGAAGAAAGCTAAGGGAGGAAGGGTTTTCAAGACACTTCAGGATCTAAGTGCCACTGAAGTTCAAGTAATATAGAGTTAAAGGTGCATGTTAGTGTATGATTTTAGAGTGATGTGATTTTTATAGATCAGGTAATAGTTTGAGAACAGGTTAGAACATCGAATTGCTTGCTCTCTCTTTGTAGATCATTTAAGTGTTTCCTCTTCTGTTCTTTGGAGATGCAGAAGTGTGGTGAGGATTAGGAAATGTAGTTTGAGTCAATAGTAGAAAAAGGAATTGAATTTAGAAATTTGGAAGTTGAGCTGTTCTCCCTTAAGCAGAAATGCTCTTTTTTGCTAGTCATTTATAGACAAGGATCTGGTGGTATTACCCTATCAACTCATCTCCTTTTGGGGCTCACGTGGCTTTATGTCATAATTGTCTTTGCAAATACTTGATTAGATCGGAGGCAGGAGTGGAGGAGCTGGAGAAGGCTTGTTTTTTATAAAGAGTTAGGTAATGTTAACAGAATTAGATATTTTGTTGGTTAAAGAATTTTTATTATAAAATATTCTCAGTGTTGCAGTGTTTTAGTTCTCAGTGCTTACTAAAAAATATTTTCCAAAATTAGAGTAACATTTCTTTTTCATTTTATGATAGGTTTGTAACCAAATTATTGGAAGACCTCATCTTCTTTGTGGCTGATGTACTTAATAATGGACAAGAAGTTTTGGATGTCGTTATCACTAAGCCAAACCGAGAACGCCAAAAATTAATGAGGGAACAAAACATATTGGCACAGGTGAATATTTTCATGTACTAAATTTGCACATTAATTTTTTTAAATTATAGCATAGGGAAGTCCTTGTGTTAGTTATCTATTGCTGTGTAACAAATTATCCCAAGATTTCGTGGCTGAAAACAACAGATAGTAGTCTTACAGTTTCTGTGGATTAGGAATCTGGGAGTGGCTTGGGTGGGTGTTCTTGCTCAGGGTCTTTCATAAGGTCGCAGTCAAGGTGCTGGCTTGGGCTGCAGTCATCTCAGGTTTGAATGGGACAGGATTCACTTCCCAGGTCACTCACACAGGCTTCTTGATAGCATTTGATAGCCTCTCCATGGCAGTGTACTTTCCTAGAAATGAGGGATCCAAGAGAGAACAAGGGAGGGCACCCAGATGGAAGCCACAGTCCTTTTTATAACTGACTCTGAGAAGTAACCTCATCACTTCTATGTTCTATTAAATGTGAGTCAATAAATCCTGTCAAGGAGACAGGATTGTATAAGGCTGTGAATTTCAAGAGGCAGGAATCTCCACGGCCATTTTAGAGACAGCCTCACTCACACCTCTCAGCAAACCTACAGGGTCAGACTATCTCCAGAAAATGTGCTGGAATAATTTTCTAGGTAGAATCTACAGGATAACTTTGAAAATGCCATCTCTATCTACTTCCTACTTCTGTCCCTCTCTTCCTTAGGAAAGTAGGGAAGTCTATTCATCAGCTCACAAATGCTCTGTACAGTATTCTAGTTTTTTTCCCCTGAAAGTCTAGATCTACTCCTGTACTGTGTCTTTCTGAAATTGTTTTATAACACACCAGTAAATTAATTCACTTCCTGATAATATGCATATATAGGCATGCCTACCTTTATGTGTTTCCTTAAATTCAGTTAATTGCTGTATAAAGTAATGGTCTTTTGCATTAATTGTGAGCTCAAGGAAGATACTTAAAAAATGAAAAAAAATGTTATAAATATACATGTTCTTGTGGAATTGGGAAAGGAAAACTAGACATATTGCCAATTAATATTCTATAGCTATTGTCTGAAAATGTAAAATCAATACTTCTCTCAAAGAAAATAAAGGTTGCAAATCTAATGAGACAAAGGCTTTTCTGACATTAGCATTTCTTTTGTATAAAACATTTGATTTCAAGGATTTTTAGGACTTTGAATAATTTACTAGTATTACGTCAACCAACATGTCTAATCGTTTATTTTAGTATTTAAATTTTTTTAAATGTTTATTTATATTTGAGAGAGAGACAGAGCGTGAGCAGGGGAGGGACAAAGAGAGAGGGAGACGCAGAATCTGAAGCAGGCTCCAGGCTCTGGGCTGGCAGTACAGGGCCTGACAGGAGGCTTGAACTCCTGAACCATGAGATCGTGACCTGAGCCTAAGTAAGACGCTTAACTGACTGAGGCACCCAGGTGCCCCGTTTATTTCAGTAATTTAAATAGAAAATTCAAGGTTTAGTGAATATAAAATGATTGAAGTAACTTTAATTTGTATTCTATTTTATGAACTACAAAAGATGATTCCTTTCCATTTCGCTGTCTTGTATTAATGCCCAGGCCCTAGTGTAGGTGCTCTTTCATAAACTATTTACTCTTCTTACCAGCTCATCCTCATCCTTAGGTGACCTTACCCGCTGTCCTGCTGCCTAAAAGAGTTTATTCCTTAATGTTTTTTAAACATTTCCGAGCTGCTATCCTTGGTATAATGGGGGTCACTGACCACCACTGGTTGCCCATAAGGTGCCTTATTTGTTGGAATACTGATAAATTCATTGATTTGACAACATCTTTTTTTTTTTTTACAAATAGTTTATTGTCAAATTAGTTTCCACATAACACTCAGTGCTCATCCCCACAAGTGTCCTCCTCCATGCCCATCACCCCCCTCCCCCCCACATCCATCAGTTCTCAGTTTTTGTCAGCGTTCAAGAGTCTCTCATGATTTGCCTCTCTCCCTTTCCCCCACCATTTCCGCCCTTCTTCTCCCCCTTGTTCCTCCGTCAAGTTCCTCCTAATCCTCCTATACGTGCAAACATATGGTATTTGTCCTTCTCTGCCTGACTTATTTCGCTCAGCATAACACCCTCAAGGTCCATCCATGTTGCTACACAGGGCCAGATTTCACTGTTTCTCATTGCCATGTAGTATTCCATGGTATAGATAAACCACATCTTCTTGATCCATTCATCTGTTGATGGACACTTAGGCTCTTTCCATGTTTTAGCTACTGTGGAGAGTGCTGCTATGAACATTGGGGTACATGTGCTCCTATGCCTCAGCATTTCTGTATCCCTTGGGTAAATTCCTAGCAGTGCTATTGCTGGGTCCTAGGGGAGTTCTATTGTTAGTTTCCTGAGGAACCTCCACACTGTTTTCCAGAGGGGCTGTACCAGTTTACATTCCCACCAACAGTGTAGGAGGGTGCCCGTTTCTCCACATCCTCGCCAGCATCTAGAGGTCTCTGATTTGCTCATTTTAGCCACTCTGACTGGCGTGAGGTGGTATCTCAGTGTGGCTTTGATTTGTATTTCCCTGATGAGGAGGGATGCTGAGCATCGTTTCATGTGTCTGTTGGCCATCTGGATGTCCTCTTTGGAGAAGTGTCTGTTCATATCTTCTGCCCATTTCTTCACTGGGTTGTTTGTTTTTCGGGCGTGTAGTTTGGTGAGTTCCTTATAGATTCTGGATATTAACCCTTTATCTGATATGTCATTTGCAACTATCTATTCCCATTCCGTTGGTTGCCTATTAGTTTTCTGGGTTGTTTCCTTGGCTGTGCAGAAGCTTTTAATCTTGATGAGGTCCCAACAGTTTATTTTTGCTCTTGATTCCCTTGCTTTTGGGGATGTGATTTGACAACATCTTAATGTACTCGGAACAATAGATGAACTGTTTTGGAAAGAGGTTTAGAAACAATATTTGGAACTAACTTTCTGATCAATTTCAGATGAAAAGTAAATGCTTTTTTATATTATTTTGATTTTAGAAAGTTATAGAACATAATAGAATTAATTGTAAAGCTATAGAAATCATACTATATTTTAGTTCACTTGAATATGTTCATATAACTTGGTACAACCCAACATCTTTCTGTCTCTTATTTAAATAGAATATAATTTCTAAACACAATGAAGTGTTTTTATTTAAATGTTTATTTGTCAATTTAAGGAATCTTTTTAATGGTATTTTTTTTCTGTTTCTTAATATGTTGGTTCTGTATTCTACGTCTTTTTTTTCTTTACATTAATTCTACTCAAATATTACAAAAGTGTTTTTGAGTCAGTGTGCTTATTTATAAAACATGCACCTCCATTCATCAGAATAGGTGGTTGATTTTTTTTTTCCCCTGATAGGTATTTGGAATTCTCAAAGCTCCCTTTAAGGAGAAAGCGGGAGAAGGCTCAATGCTGAGACTTGAAGATCTGGGGGACCAAAGATACGCTCCTTATAAGTACATGCTGAGGCTATGTTACCGCGTGCTCAGACATTCACAGCAGGACTACAGGAAAAATCAGGTCAGAGGGTGGCCTGCGTCTTTGCTTCTGTTTAACATTTCAAGTATGGGCAAGGGTCTTTGGTTACTGTTCTAAAATACATAACATAGGAATGGGAATTTCGGCTCTGCAATGAAATGTTTTATGTTCGCCACACAAAAACATGACGTGTAAGCATTTTTGTGATGATGTATTTATTCTTCCATGTACAATTAGAACCTTTGGGGGAAGATACCTGAGGTCTTTGGGCATGGTATCAGCTTTTGTTAGGCAGGAGACATGCTGGACGTGTTATGTAAAGAGGTGGGAGACATTTCTTGACATGTGATTCTAGTACATAACGTGTAGGCCAAAAAGTTCTGTATCTGGTCGCGAAGATATGGCATGTATATCTGAAACATAAGGCAGAGGCAAAGAGGGGACACAAGAGAGAAAAGATGGCATTATGGGAATTTAGGAGAGGGAAAGCTTAGTATGGCTGGGGGAGCCCAGGACGGGTGCTTGGAGAAGGAAGCATTTGAGGAGGATGAGAATCATTTGCGTGAATTATATAGGAACAGGCATTTTAGTAAAGAAGGATCTATGAAGAGAGAATGGTGAAGGCTAGCAAGGTCACTTTTGTCCCTAGGTGGTCCTAACTGTGGAGGACAGGGAACCCGGGCTATAGCCAATGGCAAGTTGCCAATGGCAAATGAAATTTCTTTCAAGTGTCATTTTTATCTTAAAAAAAAACCTGCTAATTAATTTTGAGAGAGAGAGCATGTGCGAGGAGGGGACAGAGAAAGAAGAAGAGAGAGAATCTGACAGCACAGAGAGAGGCTGACAGCACAGAGCCTGACACAGGGCTCAAACTCATGAGCTGTGAGATCATGACCTGAACTGCAGTCAAGAGTCTGACGCTTCACTGAATGAGCCACCCAAGTGCCCCAAGTGTCATTTTTATCTTAAAAATACAAAATATTTTGCAACATGTTTAATATTATACATTTGTGTAATATAAAATTGTTTAAAGTTAATTATTTCATAAATTAGCATCCTTTGTTTCTCTTAGTCAGTTTGAGAGAAGACTGATTAGTTTAGTTTGTGAGAGGGCTGGTAAGGCAGGTCAGACTGAGCCACTTAATCTCAGGACGTCAGGTCTAGAAGGTAGCAGTTACCTGGGAATAGTCAGTAGTATTTATTGTTTACTTACCAGGCTCAGTTCTAAACACTTTTCACAACTTAACTCAGATAATACTGAATTAAGATGAGGAACTGAGGCTAAATGGAGGTTAAACAATTTATCAAAGATTACATAGTGTTATGACTGGAGCCAGTATTCAGACCTAGGCTCTTAATCATCACACTATTGCCTCTTAGTAGTTTGAAAGTGTCTTGGTGAGAAAAAAGAATTTGCTTTAAAAAATCTGTTAAAATACATTGGCTTTGTAATCCTATTTCAAGATTGAGAAGAAGTCTAATAAGGATATGCAAAACAAACTAGTTAGAAGATAAATAATAAGGCAAGGAACAAAAGAGTGAGGAAGGGGATAATATAAACAAATCCTTAAATACTTTTGAGTATAATCCTAGTTATAAACAGCCTTCTTTCCAAGTGGAAACGCTGCCATCGGATTTATTTTCCCCAGCTTCACTGCATTCCTTTAGATGGCAAGATAAAGTAGGTAGAGTCATTCTTATTTAAGTGGAGGAAAAATTAAGTTCCAGAATGTTAAATGATGGAACTTCAAGCACTCAGAGAATCAATGTCCCGGAAGCTACTCAGTATTAGGGCTCATGTCATTCTGTGAAGGTCTAGGGTAGAGATGGGGGCTTAGCAGTTGTTCAGTGAATTCTACTTGGCCGCATTTCTCTTCTTGCATCTGGAAATACCTACTTTGCTAGATAGGCCACCACTCCACATGCACAAGCTGTGCTGTGTTAGAGAGATGGCATTTACCGAAACAATCACCAGGTCTACAGAGTTTACCTGATGCTCTGAGTCCCATAGACCCACAGTGTACACGATTCTTGATTGTGCTTAGCCTTTGGAAGGCTCTCAGGGACTCCTTTCTACAGTCCTGCCCTGTGCTTCATTGTCAGGTCTCCTTGGCTTTGGTTGTTCAGCTCGTCCCCAGTAGTTCCCTGGACGGCACATCTTAATGGCCCTTTCTTCGTCTAGCACACAAATTTTTATCTCACTCCTTTTAGTCTTAGCTGAAGACTTGTGTGCCTAGTGTGCTGATGGATGTGCAGTTTCTCCTCTGAAAACACCCATCCTTCTGATAAGTGGAAACACCACATAGACACAGACATTCTGTCTCTGACAAGAGAACAAAGAATGTCCAGCATGTACTGAGGGTTAGACTTTATTTTCCCTCATGTTCTCATGCATGCTCCAATTCAATCTCAATGATAGATGAATAAGATTTTTCTAATTTCTTTTGAGTTAAAAGTGCTTTTATTAAGTATAGAGCAGTTTTCTGATGTTTTTAGAACATAACTTTAAAACATAAGTAGAACTACTTTCTACTTCTTGCGTAATTATCTTGTTTTTCTTCATCCTAATCTATATTGTATAGAGTCTTAATCAGGAGAGCTCTTTTGTGATTTAGTGCTAACCCAAGTCTTTAATGTTGAATGTGTGTTTATTATTATTCATAGAATTTGGTGACAACCTCTAAATTGATTTGATCTATCAACATCTTGATCTATTTATCAAACATCTTGGAGGCTTGCCTTATACTAGAGTATGATTACAGCAGTCATAAAAGTGTATAAATCAATACATGTCTTTAAAATGATATACCAACAGAAGACATTTACTTTACTTAACTGGCTACCCAGTATGAAGCTATCATTTTGAAAGTCCACAAAATTGCTGCCTAGAATATAATTAGATTTGCCCAACCTGTATCATTTTCAAGGAATAGATAGCTTCCAGTAAATTTTACCTAAGGCAAGAAAACAACAACAACCCACTTTCTAACCAATAAATGTGCCCATCGTAGAACCAGAGGTACATTCCCAAGGAGAATCTCTAAGAAATTGAAGTGAGAACTTTGGATTGTGGAAGGGGTTAGTTAAACTCACTGGGTCTATCTTTAGTTGTGTGGGATTCTTACTTGTACCCAGAATGTGGGACATGAGCAATGGCGGCTTGGAATCTAGGAGAGTCAGTGTGAAGAATGAGAAGCAGATTAAGTAATGCATGATGGAAACTGCCAATGGCTTTTCCTTGCTTTTAGAATAATATTTTGGTCCTTTACCATGACTTGCAAGGACCAGCCTCTCCAACTTCAGCTCTTGCTTTTGTTACACTTATTAGTCTATAGCTACCATGGCCACGCTTGTTTGTGGAACACAAAGAACATGGTTCCACTGCCAAGATGGCTTCTCTCCCCATGACTGCCTCCTTTTTATCATTCCCATCTTTTCCATCCCAGCTCAAATATCATTTCTTCAACGTCTACCCCCCTGAAGTTGTCACCTTTCCCCATGCCTCTGTTTCATTTCACTTATTAACCTATAAAAGGATCATATTTATAGGCTCATTTACTGCCTTTTTGCACACTGGGATGTAACATCCATGAGAACTCATCTGTCTTATTTACCACCATCTGCCTAATCTCTCAAATAGCCTAGAATGTAGTAGGCTTCCAAGAAATATTTATCGGGTGAATGATCTGGTCAATAAAGTGATTAATCATATTATCTTGTTTCATAGTTTTTTTAAGATAAAAAGTGGTATGGAATTTCATCATTGTTTTAAAGAGAAGATTTAATAGATTGGTATATGTGCAGAAAAAGAAATCACCACAAGTCCGCCTGGCGTCTTCATGTAACAGTATAGATCTCGTGCCTCATGAACAGAATATCAGAGAGTCATTTTCTTTCCGTGATTTGATACAATCGGTTATAACTTTTAGTGAGAGCTAGAAGGAAGGCCTCTGTTAGGCTGGTAAAATCTTTAGCTACCACGTCATAAGAAATTGTTATTTTAACTAGGTTATTTTTGTTTTTCCCACTTACTCTTTCAGAATGTAAGCACCCATATTAAATATTTTTGGTATATAATTTTCAGTTACAATTTAAATTAGGCATATGCTCGTATGCTTTTATTTCCTTTCTCCAAAAGCTGTATTTATCGAAGGATTATTGTTTCTCATTTGACAATACATTTGAGTGAGTTTTCTGTTATGAATAAATTAATCCGTGTTGCTGACTCTAATAGAACCTGTTATTTCTAAGCTGTTTGGCAGCACATTCTGACAGTCTTTCTTCTTTGCAGGAATATATTGCTAAGAATTTCTGTGTCATGCAGTCCCAGATTGGCTATGATATTTTGGCAGAAGATACCATCACAGCTTTGTTGCACAACAACAGAAAACTACTAGAGAAACATATCACAGCAAAAGAAATAGAAACATTTGTCAGTTTACTCAGGAGAAATCGTGAGCCAAGGTTTGAAGTGGTTCATGCAGTGTTCTTTACTAGTGGGGACTGTGCTTTATTTTTGCTTTCTGGAAAAGAGTTTTTAGCTTTATTTTTAGAACGTTTGAAAAGTTGGAATTCTTTCACATCATTAGCTTTCATGAACAAAACTATGTTGGGCTTGCTGTTATAATAATCATGTGGGTTATTACCTCATAGGAGATGAAAACCTTTTATAGACATAGTTAAATATAAATGACTTTTATTCTGATCACTTATGTTTGTATATAGTACTTATAGTTTTTCAAAATATATTCATGTACATTGTCAAATTTATTTAAGTCCTCACACATACCCATGAAGTTTGCTGGTTATATATGATTAGCCACATTTTAGAGATGAGAAAATAGAAGCCTTGGTCATAACTTGCCCAAGAATATCCCCAGTAGTAAGACATATTATATTAATACTGTATATTTAAAGTATTATAGTAATATTTCTTACTATAGGGTTATTACATCAATTTCACTTTCTGTTGCTCCGTCTTGCTTTATCTGGGAGAAATGAATGCAGAAACGTCAAGCAGACGGACAGTTTTCTTTACTAATTAGCACAGCAAATAAATGTTAGGAGGTAGAAATGAGCCTTTGACTCAGCTAGGGCATTCTCACTTTCATTAACTGTGTCCTGTATTCCTATTTTACTCAGTACAGTGTTAGCTTTCTTTTGCTTTTGTTTTGTTATCCAATTCTTGGATAGTCCATTTTAGGGCAGATAAATGATTTTCTAAATGTAATAAGTCACAGTGCTCTGGGATGAATATCACCAAATAAATAGAAGCAAATTTATATCCTTTTTTGAAAGAAGATTTGTATTAAACACAAATAATTGGATGTTTAATTTGTTTCTAATGATGCAGTAGATAAGCGACACGTTAAAAAATGTTGCATGGAGATAATATTAAAAATAGACCTAAAAATTACTTTCATTATATCCCCAAGCATATTTTTATTGTGATATTTTATGAAATGCTTTTTCTTAATGTTCAATTTTTTTTTTCCTCTTGCCAGGTTTTTGGATTACTTATCAGATCTGTGTGTGTCTAATACTACTGCTATACCTGTAACGCAAGAACTCATCTGTAAATTTATGTTGAGCCCAGGCAATGCAGACATTCTCATTCAAACCAAGTAAGCCTGGATAGGGGAGGACTCTTTTCTTGTTCATTATGTGCAATCATTGTAGTTCCTTGTCATATTTGGTAGTGAAATATTGTGAAAAAATGTTTATGTACTTTTGGGAGAGAAAGAGAGACAGACAGACAGAGCATGAGCAGGGGAGGGACAGACAGGGAGGGAGATACAGAATCCAAAGCAGGCTCCAGGCTCTGAGCTAGCTGCCAGCACAGAGCCTGACATGGGGCTGGAACTCACGAACCATGAAATCATGACCTGAGCTGAAGTCGGACGCTTAACCGACTAAGCCACCCAGCCGCCCCTGTGAGTGAGCTTCCTAATAGATTTTGTATGTATAATTTCTTTCCAGGCTAGTCTCCATGCAAGTAGACACCCCTTTGGAGAGCTCCATCCTTTCAGATGACATTGATGATGAAGAAGTTTGGCTCTACTGGATTGACAGCAACAAGGAACCTCATGGCAAAGCTATCAGACACCTCGCACAAGAAGCGAAAGAAGGCACCAAAGCTGATTTGGAAGTTCTCACCTATTACAGGTAAAGAATCATCAATGTCGATCTTACGTATTCGTTGAGAGAAGATTCCCTGAAACCTTTAAAAGTCAGATATGTAGGAAGAGGAAATTAAGAAATAATGTCAAAACTAAGGTAGTGGAAATATGTAATATTATTTAAAAGATTCAAAATAAAAGTTAACATTTGTGTTTTCCACCTATACCACTTGCAATTTTCTGAATTTTCACTAATTTGGAATTGGTGTACAGCAGAAGATTTTTTTCCCTGTTATTGATTGGAGTGGGTGCAGATGACAGACATGTTGGGAGCATGGTGTTGGACCTGAGAGATAGTAATGAGCTAGGTGTGCTGATCCAGCCGCAGAGGTGGCCTCGGAGAAAGTTAGCCAGTGGGAATGTAGACCGTGCTTATGATTATGCAGAGACCTAGGGCTGGAAGAAGAACTGGTATCTTTAGTTATAAAAGTTCAGTGGTCACACAGGGCAGCAGAAGTTGCGATGGTGGTTCTCGGTGGTCAGTATATTGGGAGCAAGAACTTAGCTGGTGTCTTTGAGTTTAAGGTATAGAAGCCCTGGGAGATGCCCTTGGGAAAAGTTAGGCCCAAATGACAGGAGTCTGAGAAAGGCAGAGCAGGCTTCATGTTCCCTGCTTTCTATAAGTATCACAACAAAGCCAAGGCTAATTCTTGATCTCAGAGGCTGATGAATCCGAGTGTAAGTGGTGCCATCTGGATTGGTCACATTTGGTTTGGGAAGTGAGTGAGTCTAAGGTTAGAATGTAGATATAAGAGCCAGAGCTGAGCGGGACTGGGAAGGTGAGAGGTGCTTTCACATGAGCTGTTACTCATAGCCTTTAGGCTTAGTGTATTTCTCGTCCTAGGAAACCAGAAATGGAGAGCCTAAGGATACTTTCCATCAGACACATGTTGCTGGAATAAGTAAGAGAAATTGTAACTTGAACAGACATAGAGACAATTTCTTGTATTTGTTGTCATTTGGTCCCTTAACTCACCTCCAAAAAAATTTGACTCCAGGGTCACAGACACTTAGAAGTTTCGGTGTCACAAAAGTAGATCATAGACACTGATTGACACTGTGCTGTTTAAGAACTCTATTAAGATAAGACAAATAACGTAATAATGTTTAATATTTTTAAGGTACCAGCTAAACCTCTTTGCAAGGATGTGCTTAGATCGCCAGTATCTGGCCATAAACCAGATTTCTACACAGCTCTCTGTCGATCTGATCCTGCGGTGTGTGTCGGATGAGAGCCTGCCATTTGACCTCCGAGCGTCATTCTGTCGACTCATGCTCCACATGCATGTTGACCGGGACCCCCAGGAGTCTGTGGTACCTGTTCGCTATGCCAGGCTCTGGACAGAAATCCCCACAAAGATCACAATTCATGAGTATGTTCGGAAAAATTTCTCGAGGACTTTAAATTTAGTAGATGAACTTGAAGTCAAATGTCTCCAATTTTGAAATGAAGTATATGGAAGGACATTTCTGTGTTCAGGCTCAGGCTTTTAGTCTTTTTTGTTTTTACTGTTTGTATTATTTTGAGTTTTGATTTTATTTATTTTAGAGAGAGAGAGAATGTGAAATGGGGAGAGGGGAGAGGGAGAGAGACAGAGTTTTAAGCAGGCTCCATGCTCAGTGTGGAGCCCATGACCTGAGCTGAAGTCAAAAGAGTTGGGACTCAATCAGCTGGGCCACCCAGGCGCTCCTATTATTTTACTGTTTTTTAAAATTTTATTTTAATTCCAGCTAGTTACCATACAATGTAATATTAATTTCAGGAGTATAATATAGTGATACAGCACTTCCATACAACAGTCAGTGTGAGACAAGGGCACCCCTTAATCCCCATCACCTATTTAACCCATCCCCAGGTTGTTGGTCTTTCAAACACAAATAAGGTACTCTTTTGGAAGAAAAAATGATACCCTGGTTGTAAGTCTTTCAAATACAAGTAAGATACTCTTTTGGAGAGTGCCTGGGTGGCTCAGAAAACCACCAGACTCTTGACTTTGGCTCAGGTCATATCTTGGTTTGTGAGTTTGAGCTCCACATCAGGCTTTGAGCTGACAGTGCTGAGCCTGCTTGGGTTTCCTATCTCTCTCCCTCTCTCTCTGTTTCTCCCCAAGTAGCATGTGTGAGCACATGTGGGTGTTCTCTCTCTTTTTCAAAAATAAGTAAGTAAGTAAGTAAATAAATAAGTAAATAAAAATAAAAATAGTCTTTTTTGAGAGGAAAATGACAGCTCTTTTTTTTAAGTTTATTGATTTATTTTTTGAGAGAGAGAGAGAGAGAGAGAGAGAAAGAGAAAGAATCCCAAATAGGCTCTGCACTGTTGGCTCAGAGTCCAATGTGGGGCTTCAACTCGCACACTCTGAGATCAGGACCTGAGATGAGATCAAGAGTTGGATGCTTAACCAACTGAGCCACCCAGGTGCCCCCAACTCTTGATGATAGAAACATTATTCTGGAAACCAATGAACAGAAATCATATTTATAATAGGAGTAACAATTTTTTTAAGTGCTTAGTATTATGGTAGAAAAATCTAGGAAGGTTAATTAAGTTACCTAAACTTAAGAAGCCAGGAGGTTAAAGTATATATTTTTCTATTTTAAATGATTTCAGTCAATTTAACTTGCTTCATATTCTTTCTCTTTCCAGATATGATTCTATAACAGACTCTTCCAGAAATGATATGAAGAGGAAATTCGCACTGACAATGGAATTTGTTGAAGAATACTTGAAAGAAGTTGTAAATCAGCCCTTTCCTTTTGGGGATAAAGAAAAAAACAAACTGACGTTTGAGGTATTTTATAAAAACAATTCATTTGTGAGGTTATTCAGTTTTCCCTGTCAAAAATTAGATACATTGAGCATCAGAAATTTTTTTCCTCTAATATTTAGGATGTCTTGGTAATTGGATGGTTTAGCTGATGAAGGTATGATTCCCTCTGCCATTGATTAAAAGGTAGAATTGATGCTTTAATTATACCTGATGTGCAGTACAAACTATTTTAGTTATAATTATCTGGTATGTACTGTTTTCCTGGATTTGGGGGGAGGGTTCATTTATGTAAGCTTTGTTGCGTTTAATGAGCAAAGACAGTTTGCATACATTGTTATTTGTTTGGATACGTTTTTTTTCCCCATCTTCATGGAAATGAAATTTTTAGCCTCATTAAACTGAGTTGAAATACCTTTGGTTTTAATATCATTTGGGGGATATAGTGACAAAACCAGAGAATAGATGCCATTACTTGATACCTGGTGTATTAGGCATCTACTGGTATGTAACACATTACCCCCAAACTTAGCCCAAAGGAAGAAGCATTTATTATTTCACAGTTTCTGTGGGTCAGGACTGGAAATGCATGGTTGGGTAGTACTGGCTCAGGGACTCTTAGGAAGTTGCAGTCAAGCTGTTGACTTGGATTGCAGTTATCTGGGGCTGGATGATCTGTTGCTAGGCTCACTGATGTGTTTCTTGGTGGCCATACTTTCTTGCTGGATATTTATCAGACACTTCATCTTCTTGCCATGTGGGCGTTTCCATAGGTTGCCTGTGTCCTTATGGCACAGCACTCAGAGCAAGCCATTAGAGAGAGAGGAGACAGAAAGAGAGAGACAGAGAGAGAGACAGAAAGAGAGACAGAGAGAGAGACAGAGCCTGAGATGGAAGCTGCCCTCTTCTATAACCTAACCTTGGAAGTAGCATGCTATCACTTCTTCCATATTCTGCTGGTCACACAGAGCATCCTTGGTGCAATGTGAAAGGAGACCATAGCTTGGGGACCATCTGGAAACTGAGTGTCATACCCAGAATGTCTTATAGTATCCAGAAGGCCACAAAGCAGCATAAAGAACATGTATTTCTGGACAAATTCATGGATAATACCCATTTATAAAAGCAATTCATTAACCCTTTATTAACTGATAGCCTACTGACTTAAATAGGTTAATATTTAGTTAAGTAAATTATTCCAATGTAAATTTCTTTAAACACTTTGATACACCTAAAATCTTCTCTTTTTGGCTTCCTTACTGGTTGTTGACCAGGCACCTCATCTTGTCATGTGGGGTTTTGATAGAGACGATAAACTGGACCTATTTGGATTTAATTATAAGCTCGAATAAATCAGTTCAGTGGTTGCTTTTTTAGGTGTTTCGATTCCTAGGTGTTAAAGAATTAGAAAGTTTAGAAATACCAGTGCTAATTTAGATAATATAAAAAAAAAATCAACGTTAATTTCAGTTTCTAATGTTTTTTGTTTCTTTTCTGCTCCCCCTCCCTTTCTTTATTAAGGTGGTTCACTTGGCTCGGAATCTTATATACTTTGGGTTTTACAGCTTCAGTGAATTGTTAAGGCTAACAAGAACACTTCTGGCTATCCTAGATATTGTACAGGCCCCCATGTCATCATATTTTGAAAGATTAAGCAAATTTCAAGATGGAGGTAAGAACTTTTGAGAAAAATTGTACTCTTTTTGGAGGTGAGATAAAAACAAATCTGTAGAGAAGTGGTTGTTAACATATACCCACTGGTGTATGTGTACACATGAAAATTGATCCTGCTGCCCAAATCTCAAGAATTTCTACATCTTCCAAAAATCTGTAGTAATCTGTAGAAGCAATTTAAACCACATAAGTCCTTCATCTTCAGCAGAACTGGAAGACAGAGGACAATATAAACTTCAAGTGTAAGTAGAAAAGTAGCATCAGTTTTCAATAGAGCTGTCTCCCAGGTTCTTACTGCAAGCCTCTGTAGACAGTTAGAAGGTTCGGGAAAACCTGTTCAGAAGAGACAAGAAGGGATTGTGTGCAAATCACCCTCAGAAAGACAAAGTCTATGCTAAGTGTAAAAATAATGACAGAGAATCTAGGTAGAAAAGAGCACTGAGTAAAGAGGAAGGGACTCAACAGTATATAGATAGCAGCTGTGGAAAAACAATGGTTCTCGGAATGAGGAGGGTCAATGTTTGTCTTAGGGATGAGAGCGAGGCATCTTTTAGAATCTTGATGGTAAAGGGAAAAATAAGCAAGGAGGCAAGATCCTGAGTACCACAAGATAAAAGAAAACCACAAAATTGAAGGAAATGTGCATAATTCCTTTCCATTGCCCCTCACCAAGAGCCAAACTTTAAAGAAATTGCACTTCACCGCTCTGACAGGAGAGGGTGTTCTTGAACTAAAGATTACATGAACCAGCTCACATTGTCAGCCTTGTCCAAGAAATGCAGATATGAAATTGGTCCTCCTCTATATGAAACTATTGTAAGATCAAAATAGAATAAAGAATCAAAACCTTTCAGTTGATGGAAATTCTTCTCTGAAAAACAATCATAAAAGAGAAAAAAATTGTAACACAAGACACCAAAGTGAAATAAATATCTTCAAACAAACATTAGGATGTGAAAAACACCTTGAATCATAGAGTCAAAAACTAAAGTTACACCAAAATACTAGGAGGAAATGAAATGACAGTTTATTGGATTCAGGAAAGAAATAGAATAAAATGTAGACTTTATTTTTTTTTTAGAAATACAGACTATATTATCAAAAAAGTAGATTTGAATGAAAGTGTAATATTGAAGAAACGCAGGAAAACAGTGAGGAGAATGTCAGTGATACAGAGAAACAAGTAAAAAGTGAGAGAGAAAGTGGTTGAAATGGAAGAAAGGCAAAGAAGAGCTATCATATGAATAATTGGAGCTCTTTTTAAGAATAAAAATAAAACCATGGAACAGAACTTATATTTAAAATTACAGTCCAAGAGAAGATTATGTAAATAAGATAACCTAAATCCTACATGGTGAAATTGTCCAGAATGGTGATCTCTAAGACATAGCATGATAAAACTATTATATATAGTATATATTCAGAGAGTTGTGGTGTGTGGGGGAGACACTATGAAAACAAATGGAGAAAAAAATGAGAATGTATATATGTTCTGTTCTATTTTTGCATCTTTTATATAAACTTAAAATTTTACAAAAATAAAAGTCTATGAACAATATCTGAATGAAAGCAAAGGAAAAGCCAAGAACAGCAACGGTAAACCAAAGAGCAGGGACATGCTGGTGGTCTATCCTATTTCTGTTATCTGAATCTCACCAGTGAGAGGCTCTTCTTAACAGTCCCAGAGGGTACATAGGAGTTGAGATGTTGTGTTAAAGATGCTTCTTGGTGTGATGCTTTTATAATCTCTAGTTTACTCTGAACCTAACTATTCTTTAAAAAGTTTGAAATTGATCTTGACTATTGATTTTAGTGTTTACAGTCTGCTTTCAGAGTATTACTGTAAAGTATTTTTCTTCGTTCAAAATTTGATAATATCTTATTTGCACTTTCTACTGTTATATCCAGGTCTACCCTGTAAGACACTTTTTTTAATGTTTATTTATTTATTTTGAGAGAGAGAGAGAGAGAGAGAGAGAGAGAATGAATTCCAGGCAGGCTCTGCATTGTCAGTGCAGAGCCCAGCGTAGGGCCAGAACCCACAAACCATGAGATCATGACCTGAGCTGAAATCAAGAGTCAGATTCCTAACCAGCTGAACTACCCAGCTGCCCCTAAGATGCATTTTTTACTTTTTAAAATTATTTCTAATTCTCATATTTTCTTATGGACTCCACTGTCTTTGGATATCTTAATCATTCTTTCAGCAATCTGAGAACCATTGATTAATTTTTTCAACAGGAATTTATTGAGTTACTATTGTCTGCCAGACAGTGTTCTACATACTGGAAATAAGGAAGTTAAAGTCCTTAGCCACAAGGAGGACAGACAATTAGTAAATACCGAGGCAGAGTCACTCCATTCTCTCTACTGGGGGAAACAGATAATAAACAAATGACTATACACTGTTATATCAAATAATGTTGTGACGAAAAGTAAAGTAGGCCAATATGGATGGAGTAATAGCAAGGATAGCAGAATGGGCTGAACGACCTCTGACATTTAAGCAGAGACCCATGTATGTCATGGAAGCCAGCCCTGAGGCAGAATACGCTTGACATGTGGGAGGAGTGGCAGGAAGGCCATTTTGGCTGAGGTAAAATGAGAAGGGGGAGAATAGTAGGAGAGAAAGTTGGAGAAGCCTAGATTATTGAGCCTTGCAGACCTATGAGTCTGAATTTTGTTCTGAGTCTGATGGGCATTTTTCGGAGGGATTTGAGGAGGAATTGATATGATCTGATAATTTTGGCTGCCAGGTAGAGAACAGAGAATATCGATGTGGGCCTAGTGGTAGGAAGACCATAGTAGGAGGCTGTCGGGGAACTGGGTAACTGTGATGAACTGCAGTAGTGGTTGATGAGAGGAGAAGTGGATGAATTGGGAATTTTACAGTCTTAACTGATAGGAGTTAGAAGCGGAATGAGAAAGACAGAGATTATTCCTAGGTTTGAATCAACATTTGGGTGAATGCGGTACTGTTATGGAGGTGGGGAGGACTGGTGGATGAGGGGGTTGGAGGGAACATCAGTGTTTCTATTTGGGCACGTTAGGTTTGAAATTCTTATTGGGCATCCAAGAAGAGAGGTTATGTTGAGAGCTGGATATATGAATGAACCTTTAGGGTAATGTCGGGGTAGGAAATGTAAATGAGAATTAATGCATAGAAAACATTCAAAATATCAGACTGAATAAGATCATGTACAGAGTGATTATTGATTTGGAGGAAATGAGATCTAAAGATTGACTCCTGGGACCCTCCAACATTGAGCCATGAGATAGAGGAAGTGTCAGCAAGAGAGACTGGGGCAGAGCCAGTGAATAAAGAACACCAAGAGAATGTGATATCTTGGAAGCCAAGTATAAGGTAACACTAGAACATTTTAATTATTTGTTGGCTTATCTAAACATACTTTCTAGGTAGCTAATATTCATTGAGTACTCTACATACTAATTTTACATGGATTACCTCGCATGTACTGTGATTCCTGCTTAACAATGACACACACTATTTTACTCCATTATTAAAATATGAAACACCACAATTTTACTCCAGTATTAAAATAGATTTACGATAGTTTTTATGAGCCAATTATAATTCTCTAAGAAAGTTCACATTGTACTGATGAGAAATATCTCTGTTATGTACTGCATCAACCAAGACTCAGAGGTTTCTTCCCTTTGAGACTGATATGTCAAGTAGAATAGTATCTCTTCATTTGGGGAAATACATTTTCCTAATTTGTGGAAAGGAGTTTGTGGATTTTGGCTAGGTTTTTGAAATCTGAAAGAATGTGCTTATCCTTTTAGTAGTAAATGCCCAAGAATTCTGTTGTCCTAGTTTTTGGTGTATTGACGTTACCTTGAATTTAAGGACCATAGTTTCAAGATCCCTTCTCCTGATACCTGCAAATCAGAGGGTAAATTATTTTTTATACATTCCTATGATTGGGTACCTAATGGAAAATGTGAGAAAACATAATTTGTTGTTAAGCATGATTTGATCACGGTATAATTGAATTATAGATGATGCCTCTGAGAGATGTTGTTATGCTGAGCTTTCTTCCTTCCACTAAACTCTAGAAATCCTTCCCAAGGAATCATTCTTGCTTTTACTAATGTTCAACATTTATTTTGGGTTAACTTGCATTATTAGCTTTTTAGAAGGTTTTATTTTAAAGTACCAACATAGAAAAGCATATTCAGGGAGATCAATTAACTTGACCAAGGTGTGCTAGTAAGTCAGCAGCATTGCCAAGAGTTAAAGCATAAGAAAGTAGTTTTCCTATTGTTTGTACCACTTGATTATTTATTAGTTCAGAGAGCTAATATTTTAGAACAATTGTTACTGAGGTTAAAACTTTGGTTCATAAAAATATTTTAAAGTGAATACTTTGTATGGGATCTTATAAATATGGATATTTTTTAAGGTTAATAAACAAAATACAGAGTTTAAAATGAAAGGAAATTGGGACAAAGCAATGTCACGTGCCTCTAGACGTGATGCACTAAGAAGGACATAGCATCACCTCATAAGTGTCCCTGACAGAAATTCAGAATCTCCAACTAATCATGAAGAATTATTAGACAAGTACAAATTGTGAGATATTCTATGGAACAATTGGCTTGGGCCTTTCAAAATGTCCATGTCATGGAAGATAAAGAAAGGCTAAGAAACTGTTCCAGATTAACCAGAGATTAAAGAGACATGACAACTAGATACAATATGTGATTCTGGATCAGAAAAACTGTCATTTACAGAAGATATTATTGTCACAATTGGTGAAATTTGAATCCGAATTGTATATTAGGCTGTAGCAGTGGATCAGGTTTCCTGAATTTTATAATCTACATTGGTTATATAAGATGATGCACTTGCTTTTACCAAATACAGGTCAAGAAATGAGAATAAAAAGGTTATGGTATGTGGAGCTAACTCTTAAAGAGTGTAGGAAGAATCTGTAAGATATGTGTAAAGAGAAGGGTGCCTGGGTGGCTCAG